AGCAGAGTAGGCATAACTAATGAACCTCTGCTGTTTCCGAGTTGCATCAGCTTCACTATCTCTGCTGATTCTTCTCTATTGCATAATAAATCCAATTCAAAAAATTGCTTAGCATACATAAGGAATATGATGTACATTCATTTATTAAATAGAAACTAAGATCAGTTTAAAATTAACCTCTAAATTCAGTTAATTGAAAACAGAATTCTGAAAATCAATATCTTAGCTTGCCCACAGTTTCAGTAGGCTTTGACTCTGAGCTAGTAATTTATTTGTTAAGAATTTCATGCAGTAGAAAAGTAGGAAGCGTAGCGTATGGACCACCAGTGTGTCCACTTACATTTCCTTTAGTGGCTGCCAGCATCTGTAGTCTAGCTAATGTTAGCTGCATATTAATTTAGAAGAATGCCTCTGAGCCCCATATAGTGCTTTCCCCCTCCCTGCCTTTACATTCCAGAGAACTAGGGAGGATCCCTTCTGAGATGCTTTCTCCACTTCTATCCCTGCTTTGGACTCAGATTTCTCTTATCAGATCATTGTCTAGCCTGCAGCTCTTCCTCCTGTCACTCAGTGTTATTCTCACAGCCCATTACAAGACCTTGGTGCTTTATTTGGGAATTTGCCCACCTGTCCAGGAAAAACAAAACAAAATGGTTGCAGTAGTAGAGTGTATCATGGGTGGTGCTCAAGTATGACCCCTAGGGTAAACCCTTCAAAGTGAATGTTTCATGGACAGTCTCATCCACCATGACAGCCCAACTTGTGAAAGAGTTAATGCTCTCAAAATTTCAAATGTGTCGCAGCCCAGAATGGTTGCTTGTCTTGACTTAAACCAAATGAAGATGACTAGGCTTGCATGAATCTACTTTATGTATTACGTACTAAATATGTATTTTAAGAGGTATGTAGAATGTACTGTTTATTTAAATAAAAGATGCCAATCTGAAAGAACTAAATCTCAGATTCAGTTAAGTGAATAGACAATTATGGACAACCTTCCAGGTAGATACAGTATTCTAATTCACAGAATAGACCTGTGTATGTTTATACAGCGTTTGGATGTTCTTCTAAAGACATAAAATGTGAATGTGGTGAATATGTATTGGGCTACTACAGGAATGAACAACATTTGAGAAGTTTACTTTTTTCTGAACCTGTTATCATGTAATGTTGATTTTACCAAAGAAGATAAAATGCATTACCTTTATTCATGCATTCAGACAGATTGTCAGACCTTGAACTTGCAGTCATATCTTCAAAGCTTTGCACTTGCGTAGGTTTAAGAGTACATATCATAGAATCATAGAATTGGAAATTTTCATTTAAGCCAATGAGTCCAACCATTTGCTTGGGACAGAGATTCTGATTACAATATCCATGACAGATGTCTGTCCTGCCTGTACTTGAACACATCCAATGAAAGAGAGTTCATTCCCCTCTTTTGATGATTGATTCCACTGTCAAATTACCTCTCTTGGTAATTGATTCCACAGTCAAATTTTAGAAAGTTTTTCTAACATTCATCTGAAACCTACCTTCCTGTAACCCAAGACCATTATACTCTAGAATGATAGAGAATGGGAGTTCATCTTCTTTTCCCCCTTCTGGTTCTTGAAGTCTGCTGCAATACTCATTCAGTCATTTTTATCAAGGCTGAGAATGCTTAATTCTCTGAGTCTCCCCTTGTAAGGCTTAGCTTTCTGTCCCTTGATCATGACCGTAGCAATTCCCTGTATCTATTCCAGCATCTCTAATTTTTTTTAATTGTCCAGAATTGGACACAATATTTGAGGGATGGTGATGATTGTTTTGCATAATTTGGAAACTATAATTTATTACTGCAGCCTAGCATTACATTTGAATTTTTTGCAGTCACATTGTAGTGACTCAAATTCAACTAGTGATTAATTACAACTTTGAAATATTTTCCGTATAAGGTATTATCAGGCCTGACATCCTCCATCTTCTAGTTGTGCATTTGATTTCTTTTTTTAAATGTAGAGTTCTTCACTTTATCCTTTATAACATTTCATTACTTTTCAACCTTTTTCTAGCCTATCAAGATCATTTTAAAATCTGCTATGGCCTTCTTAGCTGTCCCACTCAATTTTGTGTCATCTGCAAATGTAGTATTTTCCTTCATCTACCGTTTCATCCCATTCTAATGAATTGTTGAAGAGAACTGGGCCCAGGACAATCCTGTGGCATCCTGCTTGATGGCTGACTTGAATTTGAAGAATAACTGTTGATCAGAGTTAATAGAATCCTTTTTCAAATGCTTTGCAAAAAATGAACTCTAAGAAAATCTGACCAAACTTGTATTTCACAAATCCACAACGATGATCTCTGCCTCCTCTTCACGGTCCTTAAGTATTGTTTACTTTGTGACTTGTTCTAGAATGTGCCAATATGTGTCAGAGTGACAGCTGTATGTTGTATGTACATCTATGCAAATGCTGTGCAGCACTTCAGAGTTAACATCCAAAAGGTGCATTAGAATGCACAGGTGCACAAATATATTTGTCTCCATAACCTTAAAGTATATATTGGTTGGAACGCTGTAGGAGCAACAAATCTGAAGCACCACCTAGCCTAATGCATATCAGGCTGACTCTGACTTGATCTTTAGATGCAGTAGATACCTTCAGATCTCTGGCTGTTGCAGAGCAGTTAAGAAAATGTAAAGTCCTCTTTGGGTATAAAAGTTTACAAGATAATGGCAGGTGGTTTGCTACTTGTTCTGGATGGTTTCCTTTCAAAGATATCCAAAGAATCTGGGCTAAATTAGGAATGGATGTACTAGTTTTGTATGGATCATATGGTGGCCTTAGTGGGATGATTTTTCCTTGCTTAATCTTCGCTAGCGAAATGTTTCTTAATACTTGAAATCAAAGAGTTGACACAATTTCCATTTCAATGGGTTTCAAAGAATGAAAAAGATTTCTGCCTAGGAAACTGAAAGGTTGGTTAAATGGGTAATTTTATTAGTTTATTCAACTTAGATGTCACCCAACTCTAAATCGATCCATTGAGATTGATGCACAGATAATCAGATCTGGTGTGGGTGTCTCCTGGACAGTTTTATATAGTACCTTCTAGTCACTGGATGCTATTGCTAAAGTTCTCACTGCCAAATCTTAGTTTAAACTGCTAAGATGAAGAACTGGTGATATGCAAAGCTGCCATACAGAAACGGAAAGTTTCAGAAAACTCCAGAATGTTCAGTTTCCTCTCTGGATTACACTGATTCTGGGGCAGTATGGTGGTTTTCTAGAAGTCAGTTTGCTGAACCTAAAGAGTTCGGCAAGAGGCGTTTAGTCTAGAACACGATGATTTGCATGGCCCAGAGGAGAGACAGAACATTCTAGAGTTTTTCATAACATTCAGTTCCTAGAATGGAAGCTGGATAAACTAGCCCATAAACAAAATCCTTGTTTCTTTCTTTTTCATTTGTGTCATATACCTTTAAGTACCGATTTTCAAGAAGCCATAGAAATTCAAAATACACATTCTTCAGTATGAAAATTTTCCCCTTTCCGATACCCTTATTTTTAATTATTTTCTTCATACCTGGATTTTAATTCGATGTTGTTGTTCTCTTTTGCTTTTTCCCCCTTTATTCTTCAAAGGATTGGATAGCTTTGGTCAAAGCTGCAGCAGTGGCAGCTGCGAAAAACAAAGCAGGAGTTAAGCCACGGACAAGTGCGAACAGTAATAAAGACAAAGAGGAGAGAAGGTGGTTTAAAGTACCTTCAAAGAAGGAAGAGACATCAACCTCAGCAATTGTCCAGAAAGTCCAGAAGAAAGAAGAGCAGCCCACATCCAGTGAGACATTTGGTATAACTATATTATCATATACATGGTTTTCCTCAAAAAAAAAATGTATTAACATTGGTCTGTGATCTTGCAATGGTAGTTGTTTATATTTGTGGAAACAGCAGCTGCAAGTTCAAAAACATCTGTGTTGCCTGATACCACTTCGTGTTCAGTGCTTGTTAACAGGACTTTTGAGAAATGCCTGGGTGAATCAGCATGAGGTTCCAGGCATGATGTGATAAGGAGATTTGGTTTCTGTCTTTGTGAAATATTACTAAGCTCCCTTTAAAACATGAGAAGGCATGAATTTAGGAATTTGGGTGAGCTAGGTTGTATTCATATTTTTGTCTTATGACAAAGCAGGGGGAGGAGCATTAATTAAGGCTACTGTGCCAAAGAAAACAAAGGAAATATTACTGCATTTGTGCCAGTATCTGCTTGTTTGGGATAAATTGCACTGTTGCTGCTCCTGCTGTTAATCCTCTCTTAATTATTCTAAGGCTTTTGGGTAATGCCATGACTTTCCTTTGTAAGTTTCTAAGCGTCCTACCTTTATTTGTTACTTCATTCAGAATAATAAAATATGTAAAATCTGTCAAAAATTGATAGCAGTGCAATAAAAAATGATTGCATTAACATAAAAACAGCTATATAAAAAGAATAATAAATGTCACCCTTCCCAGGTAGACCAGATAGGAAACATGACCAGATAAGCTTTATTCATTGTAAAGCTACATTAACAGAATCTTGCAAGTCATATAAATATGATGTATAAATAAATAAATAAAGTCTGAAAGTACAATTCTCCTGCCATCTCCTTTACAGCCTGAGAGACTAGGGAGGGTCTTTTTTGAACCTCTTGCCCCACCCACTTTCTAGCTGCAGGCTATGCTGTCTCTTACCTGACCATCCCTAGGTAGCATCTCTTCGCCCCATCTCCCAAGGTCTTTCCCACATACCATTACATAAATTACATATTTTACTCATCCAAAAGAACCAGATTTTTCTAATCCAGGGTCTAGAAGCTAAGAGTGATGATACAAGGACAACTGGTTAGGTGTGTGTGGGTGTTTCTGTATGCAAGGTCTCCAGAGAAAAAGCCTTTCTTCCAACTACCAGCCACCTAACTTCTGACAATAAGGACTTCCAAAAAATGGGCGTCACATCTTAAAATCATTGTTAATTCATATGAAAGAGGTGTTACTTTTTTCTAAGCTTCTGCTTTTTTTAACCTGCTGTCTACTTGACCATTCTTTTAGTCTCATGTGACTTTGTGAGGGGATGGGGGGAAACCCACAGTCTGCCAAATGCGGGATAAGGCAGTGCAGATCATGGGAAAATAGAAGGAGCTAAAGGGGATATGGGCAAGGAGTGTCACTCCCTCAAGGTAAAGCAGGTCAGAAAACAGACTCCACAAGAAATCCTAGAACTTGAATTGATCTAGGTAATAATAACAGAAACTTGAAAGCCTGATGGTGTTTCTCCTTAAGAGAGTCAAGGCAGGGCAATCTTGAGTTTCTTTCTTACATTTGCATGATTTCCCAGGTTAAGTTCATGTTTTATTAATCATTGCTGCATATTTTCTTTAAGGCCAACTCTGTACTCCTCTACAGGAGGGAGACTTATGTTTTAACTTACACTAGATTAAGGGGTGTATAAGAGACGTGACAGAAGCAATGGGGAATCTTCTTTGGAGTGATCTACTGCCAGGTGGCTGTGCTGCATACTTGTGGATCATAGAGTGTGTGTTGTGTAGCCTAAGAGACCATCTCCCTGCCCATGCCCCTTATTAAGCTATGTACCTCTTTCAGAAGAGTCAGGTGAAGAAAGGGGTCCTGCTAATACAAGTGGCCTTACAGAGTCCCTGGCTGACTGATACGAGTGGTCTTTGAGGTTTGTTTTGGGAGACCCCAGCGTTTTACTTCTGGAGAATTTGTTGTTCTTGCTGAGATCATTCTAAATAGGTGCAGTTCAGGATTTCATGTCTTCCACTGACTTCATGGACATTGTTTTAGAATATACCTGTGAGATAGGTCATGTCCTTGATTTGGGAGATGTGAAATTTTTGTATAGGGTTGTACTCCTGCTTAAGGGTTAAGTTGGCAGCCTGGAGATCCTATGGGTCCCCCTGTTGACATTGAACAGTCACAAAACATCTGGATCAAATGGGATCTTCTATCAGCTTTGGCTGCTAAATCAGATGCTTCCATATTTAGAGAGCTGGCTTTGCTATACACTGGAAAGTTGGATTATTGTAACGCACTCTTTGTGCTCTTCAGTCTTCAGGCACTCCTTGAAGACTGTCCAGAAATTGCAGCTAGTTCCTGGAAAAGCTGAATCAGCATGCCCTGGGGAGAATAACAGAACATTCCAGAGTTCTCCAGAATTTCCTGTTCCTAGAACAGTGCCTTTTGCACAACCTAATAAAAATAAAATTATCTCCAGAGATTTGAATGTGATTTCTAATGTTGTGTCATAATAGTATATGGAATCACTTCTTATTCAGCTGTATCATAGATGTTTACTTAGATGGGCTTTTAAAATGGGGAGCTTGTACATGATTTTTTCTTTTCTTGATGTAGGATTCCCTCTAGTGGATGTCCCAAAGATTGCCTTTGTACAGGCAGAGAATGCATTAGCGCACAAGAGGAAAAACAATCTAGGCAACTCATTTCAAGCAAAGAGGGCTCGTCTTAACAAGATCACTGGTAAGCTGTCATTTAAGATCAGGTACGGTAGCTGTTTTATGATTGCTTGCTCTTCATCTTTATATATTTACCATCAAATACTGTGCTTGGTTGCTTTATTCACATTCACAGGGACAATTTGCATAAATAATGCCAAGAATTCTGGGGGAAAATTCACATTAGTCTCATTTTTCAAATTGCTTGCCTGTTTCATATTTGGCAAGAAAAGTCTATATATTTTTATGAGCAATAGCAAAGTGGGATAGAGGTAATTTTAGAAAATTTGCTTAATAAAAGGGGAAAGGAGGCCCATGCCTCTTGAAGCCAGAATAGGTACCTGGTGGCTATTTTAACATAGCCACTGTTCTGAATTCAAGAAACTGGATCCCATGCAGCTTCCAAGCAGGGTCCCTCTAGCTGCTTTACAAGCCTGCTGGCATGGGGTGGGGTTGGGGGACTGGTTTTGATTCCCTTCTCTCTCCTGGGCCCCCCAAGAAATACCAACCCCTAGTTAAGAAGAGATGCAAACAATTTAACTACTTGCATTAGAAAATCAAAACTATACAGAGACAGAGACAGTATTGCACAAATACTAGAATAAATGTAATGTCTTGAAGAAAGGCTTGCTCACAGCTTGCCATTTCGACACAACACACTGAGCAGTCTTCTTCAAAGTTCAGTGCATTATTTTTTAAATTGTGACTTATTTTCTCTTAATTGCATTTTACAAAGATTCTGATTTCTCCCTGATTCTGACTGCTTCCAGTTACAAACTTTTGCAACCAGATCCTTAACAGCCAGATTTTTAACTTTCTTTTTTCCCCTAGCAAATGCCTGCTACCTGCACCAAACATTAACATCTTTGATTTTTCTCACTCTGCCACAATCAACTGGGTTAGCTTTATTTTAACTTCTCCACTCGCATGGAGAATGTGAGCCCTCACAATGCAGTCCCAGCTTCCAATTACCCATATAGCTTTCTTTTTTTGTGACTTGGATAATACAGGAGGGAGTAGTCAGACCTGCCATGTTTGTTTTTCTGTCTCCTCTTAAATAAAATCTGTCAGCATGAGCAAATTCTGAAAGCCATGATGTACTCATCTTTTATAGATTAGAGGAAAAAGAAGAATTTTCTGTGGGATATGCAGATGGAAGGATAGGGTGCTGGATTAGAACCCAGGAGACTGTGGGTTCCAATCCTCCCTTAGGCATGAAAGCTGGCTGAGTGATTTGGGACCAGTCACTCTCAGCCCAGTCCACCTCAGAAGGTTGTTGTAGGGAAAATAGAAGCTGGGAGTGTTGTGTAAGCTGCCTTGAGTTGTATAAAATAAAGGAAGGATGTTGTTATTCCAACTTACTTAGTTGCCCAACTGTCCTAGAAACTCTGGGCAGCAAACAAAGCAAAAACAGGGCATTCCATTAAACCAAGAAAAACCAAATAAAACTGCAATTGAGGCTCAGTAAAAATCACATGATCACCAACCATGTGTATCCATACCAGAGTCCTCAGTGCCTGGGGGAAAAGCCAGGTCTTCAAAGCCTTACAAAAGGCCAGTAGAGTTGGGGCCATCCATATCTCAGCAAGGAGACTGTTCCATAGGGCAGGCACCATGACAGGAGGCACACTTCCGGGGACCCACCAGGTGGTACTTTCTCACCAAGGGTACCCGGAGCATGCTCATTCTGCCAGATGATGATGATGGAGCAAGAGGAGTGGTCTGGAATATGGAGTTGTTTGGGGCACATTGTGTTGTTTATAGAACTTTGATTTTTAATCTTGCATATCAGAAATCTTTGTTGTTTTAGTTTTATGTAGTCTTTAGGAGATATTTTGGAAATGGAGCATATTAAAGCCTTGATATCTCCCTCCGAGTTCTTGAATGAAATACACATATGAAGAACAAGGCAAACTCTGAACATAATTTCAAATCGTTGGCAAAGTATAACAATCCTAAAATAAGTTTTCAACAATATTTTAATAGTATCAAATAGTATCAATAGTAGCAGCTAAACAGTACCTTAATATTATGAGCAATAAGCAAAGATACAATTTTTCATTATTAAAAGTGCTAAATTGTAGAGCATAGACCAGTGTTTCTCAACCTTGGCAACTTTAAGATGTCTGGTTGACTGGGGGAATCTGGGAGTTGGAAGTCCAGACATCTTAAAATTGCTAAGGTTGAGAAACAGTGGCATAGACTATAGTTTTTATTTGTGATCAGTGGAGCTGTTACAGTTGAATGTATTAATAAAGAAAAGCAGCTGAGTAAAGTGTTGAATTCGCACACTTTTAAGGGGTGTGTGTATAGCCAATAATTTTTAACTTGTTGAGACTAAACTACAATACTGTAGAAACCTATCCTAACTGGCAAACATTAACTAAGACGTTTTAGAAGAGAGCTGGAATTGTTGCTCTCTGTGTTCTTAAACAGTATCTCCCAGGCAACATGAGCAGTGGTGAAGGAGGTTGGATTGCAGTTCAGAAAGCACAAGCATAGAGCCATAAGTTCTCTGGAAACCTCAGTCTAACACATATTACTGAGAGTAATGTTTTGTAAAACCTAAAACAGTCTTGAATTAAATTCTGCTGTCTCACAAAGAGGGGCTGCCTCTGCATTTCTTTTAAGTGCTTAGATCTACTTGTAAGATCATACTTGACATAATGCAGTGATGGTTATTTCGAGAGAATCCTATTTTTATGCTATTTTTCTTGTATAGGATTGTTGGCATCCAAAGCTGTCAGTGCTGACGGTGCTGAAAAAAAAGAAGACAGCAAACAAGCAGCTCCAGTCTTGGAGCAGGTATGAAATTGTAGAGTTGATTCTTTTCCAAGGGCCATACTGGAATGTACTATGGGAAATACCAGATCTATGATGTTAATGTTGTCTTGCTAGGCAGAATTTGAGAGGGAACTAAAGAATCATTTGTATGTATATACCTCTGCATAAATGAAAGTAAATCTGTGCTCCTAAGGATGCATAACTTGGAAGCCAGTTCAAGATTCAGTCTGGACTAGACTTCTGCAGTTTGCACTTAGGATCAGACAGTTGGATGTCTTAATTCACGGCTACCTTTATTTTTATTTCCATTAGCAAAACATTCCGAGAATCAAAATTCTGGATGTCTCTCCCCAAGTACTGTTACAATATAGCTGAAATTGTGCCAACAAGTGACTTAAAAGACCCTTGACACAAATTCAATTTGTGCTTTCACCAGGGTTTTTGACATCTGCCAGAACTTCTTTTAAGAAGTTTCCTTTCTATTGTAAGAATCGGTGGTTGTAAATTTGTAAGTGTTTATGAAACTGTTCAATGAGCCATACTGCTACTACTACTTCACCTCTTTCTCTGGCTAGGATCTATATTTTTAAATAAATTTTAAAAAGCAGACATTAAAAGCCTCTTAGGGATTTGGTTTTAGTTCACATCTAAAGTAGAGATGCCTGTGTTCTCTTTAACTTGTTCAGCTGGATTTTCTCCTGCCTCACATTTTGTGCATAACTATGCCTTCTAAGAACAGGACTAGAATGAGCTAAACGTACCAAGAGGATACTGTTTTTGCTACTCTCAATACATTGGAGTGATTCCCAGAAATGAGCCCACATTTGAAAATGTGCTGACTATGAGTTTAAGGCTCTGTGTCCAACCAGTAAGGACTAGCTGTTCTTGTCCCCTTTATTAGGTTCCTAGAATATTCCTAGAGTATCTGATACACCTATTGGGGTGTCTTATTTTGTATGATCTAATAAGTAACATTTGAAAAATAGTTCAAAATCCTAGGTGCCTATAATCTCACCTAGCTAAATCCCTAAATTTCTAGTTAACAGTAAGTTAGACTACTGAGTCTGCTTTGGAACAGCTTTTTCCAACTTGTTATAGTTTGGCTAGTGACCTCTTCATAGCCAGGGCAGCTAGTGTAGGCCACTCAGTTCAACATTTGATCTTTAAGAACAAAATCAGTTGACTTTCAATCCAGATAAATTGAATCTAGCATTTTCTCAAGGGATGTTCTTCTGATAACATACGTGTGCACATAGGCAAATGCAACTCATTCAATTGGACAGTGTGAATTGTGACTTGACAGCCAAATTCATTGATGGACTCAGTCCATAATGGAGAAAGTGACTTCCTAGGGAGTTTGTGGGTAGGCATGTTTGTCCTTTAAACAGGAAGTAAAAGGTCAAAAAAGAATTTGTGTTGTGTTGCTAATTTTTGCTTTGTGGACTGCAGATGCCTGCAGTGTCAATGGCTTGAAGCAGGCACGGTGTAATGTTACACTAGGATCCAGACTCTAAGCTACCATGTGACTCTGCCCTAGTATGTTAGCAAATTTGGCCTGAAAGTTACTTGAGGAGAGATCTAAACTTGTACACGTTTTTTACTGAGTTCAGAACCTTAACATGATATTTAGCGTGGTTTTTGTTGTTATGAGTAGGTAGAATTTTTTAAATTTCCCCTCCTTTAAGAATATTTCTACCCTGCTGGTTTTTCTGCCTAAATGAACCCTTTTCGAAAAGGGCTTTGAACCCTTTTGAACCCTTTTAATTCACTCTGGGCTACATAATTGGGTCAAAAATACCTATACAAGCCACTTCACAGTTATTTTTGCTCTTCCCCCAACTGTTCCAGTGCTGGTTTGGAGAACACACTTTTTATGGAATGCGTAAGCTTTATCCCCATGTTACTCAGATTAGGTAACTTATTTTAGATTTAGAAATTAGACCATGAGATTATGAGGAATATCTATTATATTCATGCAACTGCTTTTGATACATTGAGCAATCCTTTGGATCAAAATGAAACTGGATTTTCTTTATTTTGAGCAGAATGTTTTCATTTTAGCTTGAGTTGGCTAAAATGTGGGAGGAGCATGAACATGATTCTACAATTCATTCCTGATCTCTAAACTAGAATTCAGTTGTAACTGTTTCCTTAATAGCCATATTTAATCACTCTGAAATCAGAGTTTTTTGCCATCATATTTTTTACACGCGGATTGTTTGTGTATTGATATTCTGTGCAATTTCGTAGGATAGTTCTGCATGTTTCAAAGGATGGGGGAGCCCCCCCCCCCCAATGACAGCTTCCTATTGAATTGCCCTTTCCATCTTTTAGGCTTCTGTCTGCTCAGGCAAAAGACCCATTTTTAGCCTCAGCCAATGAAATGCAAGCCCTTCTTATTTTTATTTTTTTAACATACTCACCCTATCCCTTCTCTGTCCCTATCATCTTTTTCTATACATTTTACTCAAAAAGTAAAAGTTAAAATTATCAACTGGGGACTATTTTGCTCCCACATCACCTGTGTCCTGATGCCATAGTGCCTTTTCACACTCCTGCAGCAATGGCTGATCCTGGCAAAAGCCAGAAAACGGATGATGCAAAAGGCATCGGGATAAGTGATGGAGGGATTAATCCATGAGGATTGGAGAAGAGTTATAAAATATGAGTTGTCAAGTATGTTTTTAATTTTTTTTTTTTTTTGCACATTAAGAGTAGACAGACTACAAAGAGAAAATTGAAGGACTAATGAAATTAAGATGCTGTAAAGCATTCAGAATATGAAACCCTTGTTGGCACTTTTCCCACCTTAGCCACATTCATTAACCAAATAATAGATTTTGATTCTGCTAATTCCTACAATTCAGACCAGAGTATGTAATAAATTAGGTAGAGTGGATAGAATATTTCTCACCAGATACGCCTGCCAACATTATTAAAAGAAAAACACTTTATTGGAGTCATAATGAATGTGGATTGTTATGCTGCCACTTTAAGGAATTGGGTGTCATTTCATTCTACAGTGTGCTCCTTCAAACATGCATCCAAAATAACTGAATGCATTAAATTAAAAACTTGATGGCTGTTCCATGAACCACACAACACAAATTTATTTATTTATTTATTTATTTAAACAATTATATAGTCCATCTCACAGCAGTGACTTTGGTTGGCATACAACAATTAAAACCACCACAAAAATACAAATTCATTCAATTAAATTCATCCAATTAAACCATAACCCCTGAACCAAACTACATCACTAATAACAACAGAGCTGGCCTAACTGCTTGGCTCAAAAGCCTGGGGGAACTCACACCAATGTTGAAATGCTAATTTTGCAGACCTTATTCTGTAAGCCATACAATATAAAACAAAATTAGTTAAAATTAAATGTGGCTGGTCTTATTAGAATTTAACTTACTTATAGGCTGTTATCAATGTTAGAAATTAACAGCCTATAAAATATGAATTTGCAAACCCTTTGGTTATATGTTTTCTTAATACAGAAAATTGATACAGAAAAATTGGAATTTGAATATGCCTTTAAAAAAAAAAGAAATGAAAAGAAATTCCTTGCCGGAATGAAAGAAATAATAGTTGAGTAATGAGAAGTCAGAAAAACATAACAATGGCTTTTAGCCAGCCATGCATTGACCCCACCCAGGCATCTGTTATAGGTCTTTTAAGTTATACGTACACAGACAAAACCCTGGTTCTACTTTTAAACCTGAAGTTGTAACCGTAATTTAAGTGGGTTTTCAAATGATGGTTATTAAAAAAAAAAACATTTGGTTAATACCAGTGTGTGTATGTATCCCGAATCATGGTTTATTCTGGGAAAGCCCAAAACTGGCTGCAAATTTGGAATCTGTTTTCTGAGGCACGAATAATTTTTTTAGGAATCAGTGGCTTCATAATGCCAAGCTGCCTGCAGCTGAAACATTTATGGTTAAAAAGATGTAATGCAAAAGAAAGTCAGACCCACTGTCTCCTCCGGTTGTTGATTTCCCTTCCCACCTTCTGGTTTATAATATTTTAAACCTAAACCCTCAGGTTACATGATGCAGGTACAATAGTTATTTAATTGTGTTATTAGGATTGGGCCTTGTATTTACTTTTGAACAATATCTGCTTAGATTCAATAAATAATTTTCATTAAGGTTCTTTCTAATGTTTAATTTTGTCCTTGTTAAAGAGGTTAAGCACCTTATTAGAACAAGTTTTTAAAACCTTGTTTTAAATAATTTTGTAACTTTGAAAGTAATGGTTTCTGTAGTGATGTCTTTCACACGTGAAGATAAACAATAAAATCATTTATTTACAAGCTATGGCTCTAATTAATTTCTGGCAATGTTCTTAACAAGTTAGCTATGTTCTACAATCTTCCAGATGTTTTACATGAAGAAATTATGCTCAGTGTACATGCATAACCGGGTCAGAGATAGGATGGGTAACAGCTGAATGGAATGTTTGCTCCACCAGTCTTTACATCTTACTTCCATTACATTGAGTGTAGCAAGGATATTGAACCAGATGCATATTCTGTCTTGACAAACATGACACTAATCCTATTGTGGTTGGGGCAGTTTCTTTGCATAGTCCATGCACATGCTAGACCTCTCCACATTATTTACCTAGTCACTTGTGCCCAGCATACATCTCTTGCATGCAAAGTTTCCAAACTGGAGAACACTTTCTGGTCATAAATTTGGTTCTTCTTATGAACATTTGCTTGTTTGTTTTTAACGAAAAGGTAATGCTTCTGAATTTCCCCAATGGTTTAATGAAGTGCTTACTAGCACAGTACTTATCTCTGCTAGGTGAAACAGTGTTTTGAACTGTGTGAGGGAGTAGCTCTCTAGATACGTATGTAAAATGCTGGTATTTGTAAATTCAGGTTATCTTGAAACTGATGTAGAGGCATTACATTTTGAAAATATAGTATGCTTTGCTTTTCTGACTTGATTAGATGACACTTCTTTTGTTATTGCTCTTAGATGACAACTTAATTTTTGTGGTCCTTATGATATCTAATGCACAGGGAGGTGATATCCAGATTATGTGCTAAAATAAACAGTATATAGTCAATGATTTAAAAAACTAAAGGGACACTGCCAGCCTCTTCATGTCTTGTATTCAGACTGAACTGGATTTGTGGGAAATTGTGGATTTTAATAATCACTCATTTAATATTAAGATTTGGAATCTGGTAACCAGGAAATCAGAATATTTGCATCACTAGGTGGTTTTATAACACCCCAGGAGCTTATAGTTGCAAATTCTTAATTGTTACTTTAAGAAATATTCCTGATACAGAAATATGGCAAAAGTTTGTCAAGTCAAACAGAGATTAGTATGTTTGGAAGAATTATGGTGCTCAGTCAATGAGAACTGAAGAGATGTGTAAGACCTCGCATCCTGATCCAGAGATCAACATCAAGTATAAACTGCAGATGGAGGGGTTTTCTTCAGACATGGAAGAAATCCCCTTTCTTTTCCACATGCTCTTGTACAAGAATGCTTGTGTGGAACATTATTTCTCTGTGAAATGAAGGGGGAAGTTGTTCACAGAAGGAAGCTACAAAGACATGTCACACCTCTCCAGCTTGGAGAAGATCACTGGATTGGGATGACGGTCTTTGGCCGAGTCCCTTTTTAAATATAAATGTGCTTAATTTAGGTTTTTTCCTTCTGAAAATGTTCTATTTAAATACTAAAGTTGCTTTTAAAAATCAAAGTAGAATGCAAGAGCTGCAATGAAGAAAATGCAATAAAAGTATCAATTTCTTATTATTTATTCAGGAGATATCACCTAAGCCTCAAAGTCAGAAAAAAAATGAAGCTGATATTAGCTGTTCTGCCAACATTCAGAAATCGGCACTGTTGCCCTCCAACTTGTCTTCAGGAAAGGCTCGCAGCAAGAAATGCAAACAAGAATCTGGAGATTCTGCAGGGTGTTTAAAGCCCCTTAAAACACCAATTTCCCCAGAGTTAATACAAGTGGAGGATTTGACCCTGGTCTCCCAGCTTCCTTCTTCTGTGATAAATAAAACTAGTGAGCACAGACATTTTAAAACATACCATAATTGAGAAGTCATCATTGGCGGGTGGTGGATGTTTTGTTTGAATGTGGCTTGTTTATCATGAGTAGATTTTTGAAAAAAAAGAAAACCTGAGCTTCAAGGAAGGTATGACATGGAGTCTAACAATATTGTAATTAAACTCACCATAGTTACTGCCCCAGAAAAAAATACTAGAAAATAGTGATTTCTTGTACCTTTTAACATCTGTGGAAAAGAAGAGAATTTAAACCAACCAACTGTTATTCCAATTTGCAAAGATTTCCTTGTCCTGTTGCCTGGAACCTCTTTCTCTCTCTTCTCTCCCCCCCCTCCCCTTTTTTCCCCCAACTTGTACCAGGTAACTGGCTCAAGACTGTTTTTTGTTTTTGTTTTTGTTCTTGTTCCTGCTAAGCACACAGTATGAAATTACAGTGCAGAACTCTTTTCTGTGATGGCACAACTCCTCATACTGCATGGAACAGCAAAGCTATTGCTGATCCGCTCTCAAAGAGCCAACTTCTTCAAAGAACGAGAAGAAGAAGAGCTTTCCCCATGTTTTGTAGCTCATCAAGTAACTTAAAGATTCTTCTTGCATGACAAGCCAACTCTATTTCCTCCATTTCTGGTTAACAGGAAGCAGTATTCCGCTTCTAAGATAAAGATCCAAAATTGTTTTCTGAGATGAGACCCAGGAATATATTAATGGAAATGTCTACCATTTTAGAAGATGTCTAAGCATGTTCAACAACTACAACAACAAAAATAGAAGATAATTTTTTTGTTCCCTTCCTTGTGTCCAACTTCAGCCCACATTTCCCCATCCAAAGGCTTAATCCTTTCTCATCCATAGATTACAGAATGTTGGGAGGGGAGGTGTTGTGCTTTCGTAAAATACCAGCCTAAACCTTTTTCTTCACTCCTGAAAAATGGTAAAATGAAGAATCAGAAGAGCTGTTTCCTTGAGCTGTCTTCTATCTATAATTGGCATGCATTGAAAGAGAACTCAGGGTATGATCCAAACAGAAGTATGTACAAATCCAATTGATTTGGAGAGGGATTAATATTTTCACTTAACAGGGCAGGGAATAACAACTGGCTAACCTAGACAAAAATTAGCACCAAAATATATGATGAGAAAACACTCCTCGTTGAACATTACATCCATAGTACATGCAGTAGCACATAATGTCTGCAAGTAACGTTTATTGAGGATGATCTGGGTCTATGTAAAACCAGGAAAGAGAGCAATTTAAAGAAAATCCATTTAATTAAAAGTGTTGCTTTGCTTTGGATGGTTTTCACTGTTTCCTCCCTTTCTTCATTTTTTTTGGTTTATTTGTTTTGAAGCCAAGATGACTTTTAAATAGTTTCCAGTGTGAAACTTTATGGACCATCTTTTGTTAAGGGGGGGGACCCTTTTGTTTGGAGTGCCTTGCAAGTGCTTTAAGCTGGAAACAGCTCAAAATGGGATGTTCTGCATGCCCCTTTAAATAATTCAGTCTCTTAGCCTCAATAATTAGGGAATGTAAGGTGTGCCTCTGAAGTGATTTTCTTGATTGCATATGCATGGAAATTAACTATGTTGGTTTCAGTCTGTCCAAAATCTAAAAGTCCTATTACATTTAGCGGAAGGGTTAAGCACCTCTTCCATTAAAAGTAATGTGATCTTGTATTGTTTAATTTTGCATGGATGAAACTTCGTTAACCATGATCATAACTTCTTTCTCCCCATAGACAAATTCTAGAAGTGTACTGAAAAAGGACATCAAATTCTTTGTCTCTTTGGGGAAATAACTTATGAATAATTGTGTAGATAAATTAAATATTACTATATTACTTACCCACAAATACATGATTACAAGATCACATCAAAAATTTTAGTAGGTATCCATTGTTGCAACAGTTGACTGCTATGCAGCAAAGGTCTAAATACTAAAGCATCAGAGCCAGCAGTACAATAATTGGTTTTTGCTGATAGATTAAAGTGATCTATGCTTTGCAAAAGATTCCAGCTTGCTTAAAAGCTAAAGGTAGTCATGCATTTATCTCACATCAGGTTATGGCTAATGTCTTAATTTATTAAATATAGCTAAATTGCTCTGTTTCCAACATCCCGTATTTTATGTCTCTAATATGTCATACCAGCATTATTGAATAGCCATGTTCCACTTCATGCTAAGACTGAAGCAGTTTGCAGGCAATTTATCAAAATAAATACTGAATGCAACAGAGAAGGAATTGAAAAACGATCTTCAAACCATCTCATATCTATAATATAGATTTAAGTAAAATAACCGTAATATACTCATTGACAGCTAACAGATTAGACTGTCTACAGTCTGTCAGCAAAATGAATGATGAAAGCCATCCACACAATGTTCCAGAGGGCCTATGGTTCCAAGGAAAGTATTCAGCGTACGTAGTATTTTTTTTTTTAGTATTAGAACAATTTTGGATCTGGATGTGTATCATTCTGTCCTTGAATTGGTATGCTGGTAAATAGGGTATGCACTGCTTTGCAACGTTCTGCAGTTTTATTAAAGAGTTAAAAAGGTACCCACTTACATTACATAACCCAGCTAGATTAGGTTTATTAGTACTGCTTGTGGCCTTTTGTGTCAAACCTGCTTCTTTTCAAAGAATCTTCTTTTCCTGTGATTATTTTAACAAATAATTTTTAGTGATTGCTAGCTATGCCCTTGATTATTACTTTAGGAAACCTTGCTAGTCAGTTTTCTCCTTCCCACCACCCTTTTTGTATTTAAACACGTGGATTGTGGTAGATGAAAACTACTTGAGACAACTGCCTGATGATACCCTTAAAAATGTTAGAGTGAGACATACAGCTGTGTCTGCTTCATGAACATTGCAAGGTCTCTTTTTAGGTCGATCACAACCAGTGACTGTCCGTAGACCCTTCAAAAATAGCCACCGGAGACGAAGATTACAGCACTTAGCGACTGATTCGTTGCCTCATGATTCTCTAGAAAAAGTTCCTTCTCTCTCTCCAGTCATTGATGGTAAAGTGTTCTCCATCAATGCCCCAAATGAACCCGCGCGCATTACTGGAGGGTAATGTATTTCACTGTTAATACAGAACCAGGGAGAAATCAAGTATTTAAAATAAGACCTTCACAAGACATTGCCTATCTAACAAGAGCTTCTGGCTAGTAAACAAGGCCTATGCCACGCTAGGTGTGTAACTTAACAGCTCCAAGAAACACGATTCTTTTCTGTTAATACTACATTCTTTCTTTTGTATAGTTCCCAATGTTGCTCATGTATCCCTTGAGAAGCAAGGACTGTGTCTCCCTCTTGACTTAAGCAGTAACTCGGATGTTTCAGCACCGTTAACTGGGGAGGTTGCCCTCTATAACAAACAGCCCAATCAAGAGAAGGAAGAGAACCAGATTATTAGATGCCATCTTTCTAAAGCAGGAACTGATGGCAGAATAGCTCCGGTGGTATCAGGTAAAATGTCTGTCAACCCTTTTCAACTTTATTAAATGTGTATTTGTATTTACAGGGAACTGTAAGTCACTTTGGGTAATATATTTCTGGATATTTTTATGCATACCTAGAAAATATAGAAATCTCTGCGTGTACGTGTGTTTCAAACCTCTGTATAAGTCCAGTGCATCCCCAGGAAACAAACAGTTTGAGGAGATGGTTGGTGCCAAATCCATGTTGTTGTTAGTTATGTAAGAAAAAGATAGTTATTTTAATTTGTAATTACAATTGAGTTTGGACAACTATGGATATTGCAGCTAGCCTTTATCCTGTTACTGTATTCAGTTCTACGTGGAAGTAACAATCCTTCGACTTTTAAGTTTCTTGATTTTACGTAGTTTTTCCTAGTGTTAATGCACCGCAACTCCAGTCTTTGATCCAAGATGTATAAATAGTGACTAATGCAAAACGTATAGATCGGGTTCACATATTGCACTAATAAAGGTTGGTTTGGACTTAACGTGCTGTATGATTCCACACATCATGGTTTGGACACTGTATTTTATGATTTGGGGTGTTGCTTAAACTCAAACCATAAAAATATGTCTTAATGTGTAAACCCACTCATAATGAGTTAGCAAGTAAACATCGCCAATCTTTCCAGAAAAAAAGCAGTGTACGGAAACTAAATTTTATTTTTGGAAATAATATGACGGGAATTTAGGTGTATCTGTATCATCTTTGACTCTGCAGGAACACTGAAAATTGAGAGAAAATCAAAACTGGAAGAGAGATGCTCATCTTTGCTTGGTATGAACAAAAAAATCAAGAACATTCATGGTAGCCCCCCCTTTTTTTTAATCTGCATCACTTATTAATGACTGTGCCCTGTTTTTAATTATTGAGGGCATGATTTGATAGTTCTGTTTTTTCGAGTTATCTTTTGAAGTGTTGAATCATACTTATTTAAGGGAAAATATAAGGACTGACATTTTTTTGTAGTTCCAGAATTGGATCAGTCGCTAAATGAATGTGATTACTAGTTCATAGTCTTTTGTATTTTTGATGCCAAAGTGCCATTGAAATTATAACATCTCTTTCAGACTGAATTAACTCAGTCCAGCACACTTAGAAAGTGCCAATTTTGTGCAGATGTTCATATGATGCTAAGAGAAAAATGAACAAACCACATTAGGGTTTAGTGTTATATGTACACTTGGCCATTTTCATAGTTAATACTTTACTGTATTTTTATACTTTTTGTAAATCGTAGTTCCTAGCTTAAGATTGGTTCTTTGAAATTCCCCTTCTTTCCAGTGCCTCCACTGCTTAATATTAACAATATTTGCCTAACACATATTTATCTACTTGGTCAGTTTCATTTATTTTTTCCAGGCAGGATATTGATATTAGGTGACAATTATTTTAAGCAAGTTGGGTTCTTTTAGATTAAACTATCCTTCAGTTAAATGGATGTTTACCATTTGCAATGCAGGTAAAAAGAAGGAGAAGGAAAAAAAAGAGAAGAAGGAAAAAGATCAGAAGTCAAAACAGAAGAAGAAGAAAAAGAAAAAGAAGAAATCAAAGCAGCATGGTACACCCAGCATATAAACAAATTAACAAAACATGTGCCTGTGGTTGCTCATATGTTGATGCATTAGATTTTAAATGCAAAACAGGCACTCATAAAATCACCCAGACGTTGCTTCAGAATATGTTTGTTGGCTCTCCTCAGATACAACCTGCTGACTAGTTTTACATATCCAATGCACATCTCGTGCTTGTTCTTTGACATTTCTTCTCTGAACAGCAGTAGATGCTCCAGTTCATCCCTGCTATGTCCTCCAACCACTTTCTCTTTGTTGATAATTGGAAAGGCCTGAGACTTATTCTGGGCACTCATAGTAGTGAAAGCATGTATGATTTGAGTGGATAAGGGAGCTCTTGTACATCTCCGCTGTAACCATGGACTTCCATTGTTTGTCACTTCACTGAATATAATCACAAGACAGGCTAAACTATGATTTGGAGGGACCTAGCATGACTTTAGCACATGAGCCACAGTTTAAATAGTGGTTAAGGCAGAACTCTAGCTACAATTGTTACCCATGGTTTGTAGGACATTTTCTTACTTAACCAAGGCTCTGTGTTAGATGGAGATTGAGATTTGCCTAATATTAACTTCCTTTTTACAGTTTCTGGACAGAGAGACAGGAGGTAGATATGTCAGCAAAATGAGGCATCTGCAGTCACGAATCTTTTGCTTCCAGCTTTTTTTTTTTTAAACACACTTCCTTTGCAGTTGTGCACCAAGGGAATGGAAGAGGAGACTCAGCTTTCTCCCAGTCCATGGATGGTGGCCCTGACTGTGGATCGATAGATTTTGTCACTATTTTTCAGTGTAATATTAAAGACAAGGAAGGAAGGAAAGGAGGCAGGCAGGCAGGCCTGTAGTAGCTGTAGCTGATAATAGTTTATTGTGCCAATTTAGGGCCAGGTTTGGTTTAGCCTGTCATGATTTGTGTGGCCAGTTACTGGGAAGTTAATGGCTTTCTGCCCTGTATTTTTCTTGATAAATTGCTTCAAAGACAACTGATGCAATATCTCAGGCATTTGAAAATTCTGGTTTATGACATTTAAAGGCATATTTGCTCTGTACAAAATTCTATTCAGCTGGGCCCTGTGATCCCTTTGCAGATTACTCCGACTTTGAGGATAGCTCTCTTGAATACTTCGACAGGTGCTCCTCCCCCTTCACTAGGTCTTCTGGCAGCTCGCTGACTCTACGCAGCACCACAACGGAGAAGAGCACGTCTTATCAGTACCCAAGGGCTATTTTATCTGTTGATCTCAGTGGTGAAAGTAGGTCTGCTTTACTCTGCGATACTCTTTAAAACAAGTTTTCATTTTCATGTTAATTTAATTATCCCATTTACATAGAATATTTCCAAGGTTCATATGCTTCATGTAGACTTCAGTAATCCAAACAACTGTAGTGTGTCATTACATTTGAAGGGTTTCCATGTCCCTAATTATTGTGAATAGATTTCCCCTTCTTTAATATGCTTGTTTTCATGGAGAAAATCTTACCTATGTGGTCACTAAAAGCCGACAAAGACTTGATGGCACATAATCAAAATATGCTTGTTGAGTATGTGTGCCTTCTAGTAACCATTTTTACATCACTTGGCACTAAGTTGCATGAGCTCATCCAATGAATTCAGTGTCATACTGATTCCATGGTTTTTGACCACTATATGTAATACAAGTAGTCCTCATTTAGCGACCACAGTTGGGACTGGCAACTCGGTTATTAAGCAAAACAGTTGTTAAGTAAAATTGCAGCTGTACTTATGATCTTACTTAGGCTTTCCTTTGCTTTACAGACCTGAATTGGTCACAAAGTTACTTTTTCATGATTGTTGTAACTGCAAATGGCTAAACGAAGTAAACTTCGTCTGCTAAACGAAGACGCTCTGTACCTCTTAAGTCCAGAGTAGACAGGGTTATGCTCATGTCTGCTAATAACTACTAACCCTTAGCACTCTTTGGATCCCTTGCCCCCCGGTTTTATAGAAGGACCATTTCATTACCTACAATTAAATGAGAAGATGACTTAATTATTCATTTACTTTTCAAGGCTTCCTCAACAACTCTGGGTAGCTTATAAATAAAAGAGGGAAGCATGCATATAAAAGAGGAACATTGCTGACCAGAAGAACAAACTCCCAATCTTAAGTTAAACTGAACTAACTAAAAGGGGCCATACAACTACCTTAACCCAATGCCTGAAAGAACAACCAGATTTGAGTAATTTCCAGAAGGTCATAGGGGTGGATATCATTCCAAAGGGCAGGCGCTGCAGCTGAGTAGGCGCACTTTCTGGGTTCCACAAGGTGACATTGTTGATAGACTTGTTGCAAACATAGCATTCTCTTTACTCCCAAGAACGATTCACCATGGAGATAGTATTAGAAATTGTAGGGGGCTGCAACCTAGTGCTATATTTCAGTGTTTTCTCACCTACCCAGAAAAAAAAATGATGAAGACAGAATGATAGTCATGGCGAATAAGTTTGGTATCCCTTACCTTATCAGTTTATTTTCAAGTAAACAGATACTTCCATGGCCACCATTTTGTAAACTACCAGGAGCCTTGTTGGACTGTGGTGATCTATAAAAATGGCTTCTAAATAAATGAGCCAGCCTCCTTCATAGCTGTTGTATTGTGAGAGTACTTATGGCTCATTCTCAGAACTCCAGATGCACCTACTTCTGCATTCAGACATGCAACTCCAGTCCACCACCTTGTGCAATTTCTGCAGTATATTTTACCCACTTAAAATTAGTCCACTGTGATTTTTTTCCCATCCTTTCCCTAGCATTTTTTTTTTCAGCGAGAAAGTTTGAAAAAGTAGGAAAATATCATAGACGTGGTGATGTGGATATACTAGCTCTTAGAATCTTTTCAGATAAGGTGACTAATAAATGTGACAAATAATGCTTACGAACTTCCTTCATTGTTCAGATGATTAGTACATCTCTTCTTCTTTATTGCCAAAGATGAGATGAGGGATTCTTCAGTTGCTGTGCCTCCATCTCTGGAGTTCTCAGAGCAATTTACAACATACTGGATTTTTTTTTTAGTTTTTTTTTTTTTTTACTGATTTAGTTGTGGATGAAGACTTTTAAAAAATTGCTTGATCCTTTTGATTTTGATTGGCTGATGCATAGGGGGTGTTTTACTGCTGACCTAGAGTTTTACTATTGTTTTAATTTGACTATTTTTTGCCAGCCATTTAGTGCAAAGACACTAATCCATGTCATCCCTGAGAAGCTACTTTTTGACTGTTTCTGGTTATATTTGTACTTCACCTAAAAGTTTTCTGAAAGAACAGTGTCCTAAATAACTTTAGGCATTTTTGTTAATACAGTGTCATCCATGTAGAGAATTATCCAAATAAGTCTATCTGTTTTGAATCTTAGGCATAAACTGTTTATTTTTAAATCCCATGTTATTTATTTGTCAAAGACCTTATTTGTCTTTTTTATATGTGCTCATTCACCAACCATCTCCAAATCATATTCCAGACCTCTCTGATATGGAGTTTTTGGATGACTCGTCTACTGAGAGCTTGCTGTTGAGTGGTGATGAATATAATCAGGATTTTGATTCAACCAATTTTGAAGAGTCTCAGGATGAAGAGGATGCTCTGAATGAAATAGTCAGGTGTATCTGTGAAATGGATGAGGAAAATGGCTTCATGATTCAAGTAAGAATTTAGTTATTTGCTGTCACTTTTTCTTTGTGGTTTTCACTCTGTTCTGCTTGTCACCAGGCAAGAGAAATTTATTTAGAAGTTTATAGGATGAATTCTAGGCTGGATTGATCCAGCAGATTTCTCCTAAGTTACATTCTTAAGAAGTCTCTCTCCATTACAGTGAGTTCACGGACGTTCTCGCTAAAACAGTAGTGGTTCAGCCTGTGACAGCAAAAGCATTGTGAATGAACTTGTTTGGTTGTTACTTCTAGGATATATAATAAATGTTATAAAAATATGAGACAGTTGATCAGGCAGATCAGAACATGCAAGGCGTAATTATCTTATGTCAGCCTTGCGAGGTAGTGCAGGCGGGAAGCACGACCAGATGGACTAATTCCACTTTATTGTAAGATTACGTTAACAGAATCTTGCAAGTTTGAAAATGCATTTCTCCCCTGCCACCTTTACAGCCCAAGGAACTAGGGAGGGTCCCTTCTGAGATGTCTGCCCTGCCCACATTCCTTCTGTGGGCTCAGCTGCCTCTGATCTGACCCTTGCCTTGGCTGCAGCTCTTCCCCCTGTCTCCCAAGGTAATTCCCACCTACCATTACATCTTCTGATAATAATTAAGATCAGGCCATTAACAGTGGTTCTTGCTTCTTATAATCATAAGATATTCAGAAGTTTCCCAGCATTGTTTTTTTGAAAAAGGGAAATGTTACATTGTTTCCCATCTGTTGATTCTAACTTATGGTTCTTATTACTTAACCTTGCCTGCTTGGCCACTTCTGTTGCTTAGCAAGCTGTCTGCAAATGCCGAACTAGAAAAAAAATCCCTACTGAATGTTTTCCTCCTAAGAGCTCCCTAGTCAAAAGGTAGACTTAAATTTTAAGAAGGCAAGGAGGATGCACCGCCTCCTCGATTATTCCAGCCTTTGTTCTTTTATTTTTTTAATTTAAATTAATTTTATTAAAGTAATTAACAGATGAAAAATAAATACAGGCAACAGTATTAACAATATAATGTGATCTCAACATTAGTCAGCATGATCATTTATCAGTTATAAACAGGACAAATGCAAAATGTGTGATCATATTGCTCAGAAGTCTTTTACCCCTTTTTTTAAAAAAAAGTTGACAACCAACACAACCAACAACCCATTTGCTGCAGATGCTACATGATGACAATACCTTTAGCTAATCCCTCACATCCTCCTCCCCCAATGTACAATTTTTGAGGTCTTGATATATTCCAAAGTCTAGAGATATAGTTGAGAGCAATCTATTAATCTTTAACACACAACGTTTGATCCAGTCATATTGACAGCCCTGATGATTTCAGCCCCAAATGAAGCAGAAATAGGAGAAGGCTAAACTATAATGATTAACATTTCAACTCCTGAGTTGCATCCAAAAGCAAGATAATTACAGCTAATCCATATGAAACGTTCTCTGAGATTCCTGATATATACCAAGCTATGTTTTTGCTGTAGAAGTTTTATCCTAAAGTAATTAATGTTGTGTTATTTGAAGCTATAGGAAGAAACTCTAATGAGATTTTTGGACCCTGAATTAGACAGAAACGCACTCACATATTAAAAAAAACCATTCAACAGAAAGAGCTACGATTTGAACGTACATGGTGGAGTCACATCTGATTGACACTTGATTATGTCCATTGTCTCCTGCATTGACTTCTCTCCTTGTTTTTATCATCCCCACAGTGTGAGGAATGCCTGTGTTGGCAACACAGTGCATGCATGGGATTGTTGGAAGACAGCATTCCTGAGCAATATATCTGCTACATTTGCAGGGATCCACCTGGTATGAACACATTTTCAAGTCCATTTCAAATTCATTCCCAAAATTCCAAGCTCTGCATTTCATGTTAATGTGTTGGTATAAAGACCACTGTCTAGTTCTGTATGCACTAAGGGTATGCTTAGGCAGGTAAGCCTAGTTCTATTATTGTTTTTCTGGGTTCACTTGCAAAATGTTTGGGCAACTCACGTACAACCTTTCCATAACCAACCACCCTAATAGAGCTCTAATTGCCGTGTTCTGCCACCAGGTGCCAGTAAGATAGTGTTTGTGCTCTTGAGGTATTTATGATTTGCAGTGTAACCTGATGGTTGGTCAGACAAGTTTAAAAATGTAACTATGCTACTGAAACTGAATAAACGTTCAGTAAAGCTTATTTAAAACCCTACCTCCTCTCTTAGCTTGGCTTTGATTTCCCATACCCTTTGGAGTCCCAAATGGAAATTGTTTGACTTTTGAAAATGTGGAGGCACCATCTGAAGTCATCAGAAGCAGTTGTCTCAACATCCATATGGTATTGTTAAAGGGGCACCATTGAGCAATCTCCAGTAACACTAGATGTCTTCAGGACATTGCTATGAAGACAGGACAACTTGATTGTCAGGATGGTATTTGATGGATTTAGTCAGTAGTCTACTGCCAGATACCAAGCTTCTGAAGTTGCAAATTCAGAAGATTCTAGTCATGCCCAGCTATTTGGAGAAAGGGGAAAAATATATATTGCCCTTAGCATGTGTATGTGGGTCACTGGAAGGGTGTGAATATTTCTGGCACATATATGGACATGCGTTGGAGGATAATATTAATGGAATGAAAATAATATAAGCATATAAAAGCGTAAATTATGCATAGACAACATCAAAAAGCTTTACATTTTTTTGCCAAGAGTTACTGGGTAATCATATGACAGTTTTGAGAGATAAGTACATACTTCCAGCTAATTATTGTTTAAGGGTGGAAAGCAGTAAGAAAACTCTCAAGGTAACAAATCAAAATAGAAAAGAACTTTTATACTTTTGTACCAGAGAGTCCGATAAAATAATAGCTCTTTTACTATTACAGATGTTTTTGTTGAATCCGTTGAATTGTGGGTTTTATTACATACATAAAACAGAGGAATTCAAGGGAATTATTAGTAAACAGAATTTACTTCATAGCTTTGTTACATCTGCATTTATACATCTGTTTAAACCAGCAGGCTTAATATCTATTTACTTCCGTGTATGTCCTTAGATTCCCTCCTGATGAAAAATTGAAATGTGAGAATCACAGTATTTTGCTGAGAGGCATACTGATTACTTTACCACCAGCCTAAGCTGCCTACTAAGAGCCAGTTTGGTGTAGTGGTTAAAGCACCAGGCTAGAAAATGGGGGACTGCTTCTCGTCCCACCTTAGACACAAAAGCCAGCTGGGTGGCTTTGGGCCCAGTTACTTTTTCTCAGCCTTAGGCATTGACAAATCACTTCTGAAAAAGCTGCCAAGAAAACTTCAGAGGCTTGTCCTAGTAGACACAAGGAGTGAAGTCTGACTCAAAGGCATCCCGCTCCCCCCAAATACTACCTATTACAGTAAAGGGAGAACATTATCTTGTTTATTGACTTGTTGACATATTCCTCAATATATGTTGGAAGTAAGAGTAATCAGCTTTACTGAAAATAATTCTGCTTGCTTAGTCACGTACATAAGCCAAAACTATCCATTTTTGAAAGAGAAGGGATTTCTCAAGTTTTTCAAACATCGGTGCATGTTTAGTGTAGTGTATGTATCCATGTTTTACACTGTGTATGTGCACATATTCTTTACAGTGTAATTTTTTGTCCAAAATTTGTGGTTATAATTTTTTGAATATTTTTCTTGGATTCTTTGTGTCTATTGTATTTGCATATTGACTCTCTTGCTCTGTTATAACCTCCACTTCTGGCTTTGTATTTATGGGAGTCCTCTTGTTTTTAAACATTAAATGAGTGAATCATGAATGGACTTATGGATATTTTAATTCCTGCTAAACAAATGGAGAGCTTTCCATTGCTTTAACAGCTTGTTGAACAAATGCTTACTTCCCATTTGTATATTTTTCCTACTGAGATTTGATCTCTTTCAGCTATAATTAGTCAAGAGTAATCTTCCTGGAGTCTTGGTAGTATAATAAAAATCTCATTTTCATGTTTTGTCTAGGTCAGAGATGGAGTGCCAAATATCTCTGTGACAAAGATTGGTTGAATAATGGCCACATGTGTGGCTTGTCGTTCTTAAAAGAGAACTACTCTCATTTAAATGCCAAAAAGATTGTGTCAACGCATCGCCTTCTGGCTGACGTGTATGGTGTTACAGAAATATTACATGGGCTACAGCTGAAGATTGGAATACTAAAGTAAGCGTATCCTGTAATGCTGCAAAATATTTTTTTTCTCCCTTTCTCATCCTGCTACCCCTTGGCACTGGTTGAATTAAGACCATTTTTCTCTGTGTTAGCAATAAAATATTCATAATGAACATTTGTGATTACACAACATACATGGAATGATTTGTGAAGTTAGTGACTTGATTAATGCAAATACACAAATTTGTCATGTTTTTGTAAGTATATTATTTTCCTTTCTCTGATGGTTTGAGCAGTCACTATCACTTTCAAATGTTTATTGAGAACAACATGCCAGATCTTGTACGATACACCAAAATTACATAATCCTATCAGATGACATTGAATTCTCGTATAATTATTACTCATCTTAAGTGCATAGCAAGACCTTGTATAGCTATCACAAGATTGAAGTAATGTATTTGATTAACAGGCATTAGTGCCAGCAAAGTTGAGTTTCAGAAAGGAGAAGTTCTTACTTGCACATATCAAAACATACATTTTTCTTGTTCATTCCTTCTGCATGCAGAATGCAATATATTGATATTACAGAGGATTTGGACAAATCTCCCTCCCAATCAGTTATTTCTGTTAATGAGGTAAACTGTTCAATTTGAACAGCAGATGAATACTTTAGATGTTTCATCATGGAAACTACTCATTGTAATCAGCATTTCATTTTTTAAACTGAAATCCTAGGTATATTTTAGGCTTCTTTTCTATTCAGACAGTGCGTATATGACTTGGTGCCTCTACCAATTTGACCTGCATACAACTTTTTTTTCCCCCCCCAGAAATAAGCATCACCCTGATCTTCATCTCTGGGCTTGCACAGGTATGCGGCGGGATCAAGACCAAATCACTCTTGGAATAGAAAGAAGGGTCCTAACTGTGCCAGAAGCCATTAATCCCTCTGGAAGGACGTGTCATAGTCAAAATCATAAAGAGCCCCCTCGTTTAGCTCCAAAGATGGAAGAAACATACATCAGAAGTGAACACAGTTATCAAAAACCAAGTTTTGGTCAGGATTGCAAGTCAGTTGTTGACCCCGCCAGCTCAGAGGATGATGACACCAGCAGTTTTGAACATAATCAGGAGCTTCTCTTAGAAGAGAAAAACTGTTTACAATATTCATCTACAGAAGATGGTTTTGGCCATCAGGTAAATCAGCCTGTTCATCTGTGTGACTTTCTAGAATTATGGAGACAAAAATAAGAGTTTTTTAGCCCAGAGGTCCCCAGTAAAAGCCACAATGACATTGCGTGTGTCATGGCATTATCATGTAAATGATGTGCATTATGGGATTGGGGTCATTTATGTGATAATATCATGACAAGGTGACATTGCTTCCCATGTCCCCCTTGCATTAGCCACTTAAATGATAACAAATGCATTCATGCATCTGATAAAGGGAGCTTGAGTCCATGAAGGCTTATACAATTATGAATTAATGTTCTTTTGTTTTCACTGGAACATATCAGTTGTGTGTGTGGGGGGGAGAAATATGCTGATAGACAAAAAGACCTTGGAAAGAACTGAAATGATGGGTCCTATTGTTCACTGAGGATAAAGTATAAATCAGAAAGTTTCAATGTACAGAGAGGTCTGTTCAACATAAATGTGAGAAATCACTTCCTTAACTTTGGAAGCATTTCTGAAGAAGGTTAGAAATTCTTTGCTTGAAAGGCTGGAGGAAGAGTTTAATGGTGCTTTTGGTTTGTCCTAAGGGGACCATCTATCTAGGAAAAGAGATTGTGTCACTTCTGGGCAAAAGGAATAGGCCAGATAGGGCAACTAGTCTGTATTCTTGTGCTTTGTTTCTATCTGCTTCTTTGTTTAGTTGACTGCCGGAAGCAAAAGTGCCTCTAGACTCCAAGTTATGGCTACTCCAAGGTAGTCAGTGGAAACGGCTCATCTGTAGGATCTCTTCCAGCTACAGCTCTGAATTTGAAGATAACTATAGTGTGGGATGGCTTAGTTCTTAATATTTTTATGGTAGAAGCAGACACCTGTTAGAGGCTTAGCTCTGTCCCATAATAAGGTTCACTGGTACCTCTAGGTCAGTCATCCATAAGCTTTTCTAAGAATCCAGTTGTTAAGGAGTAACCAGAAAGAGAGGAATGCTTTTCATAGATTTCTTCTTCTGCTGGACCATTACGCTTTCTGCATGATTTTAAAATTTTCATGCATCTATAATTTTTTGTTTCTTCCAATTCCATGACAGCCACAGTGCCAGGGTACTGGGGGGAAGAGGGGTTGTTTTGTTTCATTTTATGTTTTCTGCATGGTATTCTGTCATACCTACATTTTGTATTTCTAGATAATGCCACTTTGTTCCCTATCTAGTTCTGTTCCTCTTGCTTTCATTCTAGTCTACAAGGTCCTCCTTGCACATTCTTCTTGATCATAAATTGTCTGCATTTGGAGTCATATCTTTGTGGCCCATGTGAACAAAGGCTTCATCCTAAGTTTTTCTTCCCTGTCAATCCAGTCAGCCAACTGGTGGGAGTAGCTTATGTTGTGTAATTGGCACAAACAAGCTTTCTTCTGTTCGTGAATGTGACCTTGGGATGGGGAAAGAGAGACAAAGAATGAGAGATTGATTTCCTGAGATTTCTACATGTGGTTAGGCACATGTATTACAGAACTTAGCTGAAAGTTTGAGCACTGCTGTGCATTTGAGCCCCCAATTTTTATATACCTGGAAGGCTGAGAAGGACCAATTACATGAACCTTGACATTCAGAAAAGCTCTCATTGTCTTGTTTCCACATGGCTGGAGAACTGAACTAACAAAACCTTCAATGAATTTCTTTTTTCTGTCACTGATCACTGGTATATGAAGAACCACTACAGTCAGTGAGAAATTCTTGGGCTAATATTTCTTAACAATAGGAACTTTGCAGAAATCTTCTTCTTCTTCTGTTGCTGTAGGCTGCAGCCAAGAGGAGAGGGGGCATATAGGTAGCAGCTTTGAAAAAGGGCAAAACATGTTCCATATCGGGCTGTAGTGAACTTTAAATAGCCAGTTGGTTTTCAATTAAGCATCTGCATGACTTCGGGCAGTGTTAGAAATTGGTGGGGATTCATGATTTCCTAGAATACACATAGCATTTCTGTTGTCGACCTCATTTGCTGAGAAATCCCAAGTGTCCTGAATGTTACGATTTCTAACAAGTACTGCTGTGCTTTATAGTTTTTATTGTGACTGTCGTTAACTAATGCTCACTGCAGCAGAGGAATCGCCTTAGTTGACCTCCTGTTCTGCTGAGTCATTCAGGAGCAGCAGATCTATTTCAGCTCCCTGCAGAAGTCACTTGAGAGTCACTGATACTGTATAACTGTTTTGATAACCTGGTTCTCTTTTGCGGTAACTGCACAGAAGCATTCAGCTGAAGGGAACACCGTGTTTGTGTTCAATGAAAAAAGAGGAGCCGAAGAACACGTGGATGCTCGTCTTCAGTGGCAGCTAAACCTCCTTACCCACATAGAAAATGTGCAGAATGAAGTCACTAGTAGAATGGACCTGATTGAAAAGGAAGTTGATGGTAACTATTTTCAGGCAGAGCTTATGCTGACATTTCTCTTTCCCAAAGCTCTTTTTGGGTAACATGACAGATAACAAAATGTGCTGGCCAAAATATATTTGGGATTTTTAGCTTGAGACCCAGAGATGCACATGTCCCCATGGATACTTGCCTGGTGCTTGCTAAGTTCCCTATCTCACCTGGCTTTTTTACATTAAAAATTATAGATATAAAATTTCTCCCCATCTCCATAACGTTATATTAATATTAACATACAAAATGGATGATGCTGGAATGCTACAAAGCAAAGCACCTGAGCTGTCTTTGTCCCTGGGGATGTCTCCAGAGTCCAGAAGATAAAAATGATAGCCTGTTCTAATTCAGCGCTTAGCTTGGAAGTGTGCAGAAAGTAGCAGGATGATAAAGAGAGTCTTGCAGGAAGAGAGAGGAGGCTAGAGAAAGATGTGTGATGTCCCTGAGAGCAGTCTTTGTGTGCATGGCAAGCTATCCCAGCAGCCATTGTGTGAGGGCACCCGCAATATGCCTAATATTTCCAGGGGTTGGAAATCCCTGAAGCATATCAGTTTTTTCCCGACAGAGTGCCTTCTACTGGTTTCATATCACCAAAAGGGTAGCCTGCATCCATTTTGCAATGTTAGAAGATTTCTGATAGGACGTTCTGCTGTCACTCTGTTCATGTTGGGTTCTTATCCCATAACCAGTTACAGAAGCTGATTGTCTGACAAGCCTGATTTGACTGTATTTCGTTTGCTGGAAACAAAAAGGGCACCCGATTAACTTAATAATTACTGACGGGAGTAGAACAAACACTTAAAAAACAAATCCTTGGTTTCGTCAAAGAACTTACTGTCTTAGTAAGTTTTGGAAAATTCCTTTTCTTCCTAGATTCTTTTGGAGTGATGGAGTGAAGGTATAGCAGCATTAATTCTACTTGGTGTTGGTCTGTACCGAAGGATGGTGCCACGTGGCTAGGGTTCTGTTTCACGCTTCAAATGCAGAATTATTGCTTACTGTAATTCCTGGACTAAGTAAAGATGCGGCTTTTTGTCTCTTTTTTTCCCCCCATATAGTGTTAGAAAGCTGGCTTGATTTCACTGGAGAATTGGAGCCACCCGATCCCCTTGCACGTTTGCCTCAGCTCAAGCGTCGGATTAAACAGCTCATTTCTGACATGGGTAAAGTCCAACAAATTGCAACCCTTTGCTCTGTATGACAAAAGGGAAGGTAAAGGAACGCACACAGGCTCCAACTATGGGTTTCTTCTGATTCACAAGACTCACAAAAGGGTACCTTTAAAAAAAGAAGCCTGAATGCTGTTCCTTATTCTCTGCCGATTCTCTCCTTAGCCTCAAAGTGGTGGGTGGGATGGGGCAAGGGAGAAATCTCATCTATAAAGGAAAGTTCGTACCGGTTTGATCTGAAAAGCAGGGAAGTAAAGATTTGTGTATTCCTTTCCATGTACAATGGTTTAGAAACCTCAACAAAGGCATGTTTTCCTACATCTTCACATGCAGTATCAAGGAAGAAGTCCACAAACTGTTAAACAATCATAAAATAAGAAGTCGGCCAAAGGAATCTGCATTGGAAGAAGGAACAAATTTGCCTTGTTTTCTTTCAGTCGGGACAGCAGAACAAGGAGATTTGTCCCTGTTGGTATCTTGAAGGGTGAAAAAGTTGAACAAATGCCTGTTTTCCTTTGTACTGTAGATATCCAGGAAAATGAAAAATTCTAGCTTCCCTTTCAGAAGAAACTGTTTTCTACGGTAGCCTCTATGAATATTTTTTTAAGCCAAGCCTTCCTTGCATTGAATCTTATGCTCCATTTTTAGAAACCAAACTGGGAAGGTAATGGTCAGAAGTGCCAAAAAATGCTTTCAAAAAACACTGAAACGGGAGTGTGTGAGGTCAGTTGAAGGGGACCTTTCCCCTGACTTCTCATTATCTGAATCCTCCATATTGCCAGCATCATCCAGGATTGGATCTCATTCATATTTGGGTAAGCTATAATTATAGTATTGAGGGATATAGTCCCGTTGCTTTTTTAAATGTGTCTCACCTTCCTCAGCTGGATTGAGGAACTGCAAGAGCATCCAAAATGCCAAGGACTGGCTGTGAAATGGGTCCACGTCCAACCTTTTTAGCCTTTGTAACGCGAAATGAAAGCGAGTGAGGAACACAAAGGTTGATGCTGTTTTATTCCAGGGAGATAAGCCTGTGCATGCCAAGAATCTTGGAATAGGTCAGCAATTCATAAAACGTGGCATGCTCTGTATATTCTCCCTGTGAATCCCAAATACAAGTTAGGAGCCCTCCTTCTAGAAAGGGTATGGTGCGAGCGTAATTACCTATTAAAGGCATTCACGTATGATTTGGCAAATCGTTATGAAACCAAAGCCAGCCTAGTTAGCTGGGTTTTTAAAAAATTCTGGGCCAAGTCCAGGGTTTTCACTTTAGTTTATCTGCATTATTGCTGCACCCAGTGCTATAGTATACCTGTTAGGGTATGTATATATGTCTTTGTGTGCGTGCATGTGTATGTGTGTATATATACATATACATACATATATATGTGTGTGTGTGCGCTCATATACATACTGCATTCTAGAGACATATTTATATTGACAAGTCTAGTTTTCTTACAATAAAAAGACCTTGGTGACAAAATATTTAAAATGTTACCTTTTAATGAGCTGTTTCTTAGAGAGAGAGAGAGAGAGAGAGAGGATAAAAAAATAATCTATGTACAGATTTTGAAATTTGTAAAAAAGAAATAATTTTTTTAAAAATACTGACTGTTCAAGAGAGGCTGCACCATTGAGGACAGCAAGACAGTTGAATGCTCGAGGCCTCCCCGACTGTTCCCGTGCTGGCAGTATGTATAAAATGTGTGAGAACTACATGAAGGACAGTAAACTTGAACCTCCATGGGATAAGAGTACAAGCCACTGTACATTAAAATGTATTTAAATTTGCAGATACACTGTCTATATGTAAGGTACTGTATGTAAAGCTGTTTATTAAACTATTCTGTATACCGCACGCCCTTTCTGTCTGGTTGATTTGCTTTTCAGAGTGTTGAATAAACACAGCATTTCGAGGTGGGCTTTGTGCAAATGTGCTGCTGCTGGTGGCTTTAAAGATCACCCTCTGGGGTTTTGGTGGGAAGCAAGAATATACCACAGTAATTAGGTACTAGGATCCAGAATCCAACTTGTAATAATTGTGGTTGCTTGGTGCACACATCCCCAAACAAATCTGTATGCATAGAAATTCCTCCGTTTCTCTGTGTACGTGTGCGCTCCATTTGTGTAAACAGCTGCACAAAAACAAATGTAATTCAGAGGAACTGGACTTGATAGCTTTACATTCACTTTTAATATGTTGGTTTGGCTCCAGAAGATCAAGACTGGTATGTTATAAAAAGCCTTTGGGGCCAACATCCGCTCTTTCAGCTGATCATAGGTGCTTTTGTTTAATTCAGAGGTGACATATTTTCACATTGTACACTACAGTTTCTCCTGAATACTTAGCCAAATTTAAGCGAAGGTTATCATCTACTTATCAATTAGCTATCCAGTGTTGTTACTCTGGACATAGATGATCCCACATTCTCAAGGAACTTAGGTGGCAAATCAAGCTACCTGGGAATTAGTGATAGATAAGAAAATACCAGGTTCAAAAGATGGCCTGCCTATATAAGCAGATTTGTATGTTTCTGCCCAATAACTCCCACAGTCACTTTGGTACCGGACTACATATGGACTTGGAAGAGTGAGGAACTTTTGAGGCTTTCACAACTTTAACAGTAGGAGTCCAGCTCCTCCTTACCTTTTCAGTGTGTTTTTGGCCAAGGTTTAGGATTTATGGAAAGGAAGGATCCCACCGTGACCTCAGTAGGTGAACGTTCAATTCAGGTGAGTCTTAGATCTTTTGCATTTTTTCTATGTGCTGCACATTGCAAGAATAACAACAGTTTTCCCCCAGGTCTAGTGCCTATATGGGTAAGTTTCTGTTTCATGGCCTCGTATATGTATATTTTTAAAAAAATCCTATCTCACCTTTTCATTCTGTAGAGCACTTAGAAGGGCAAGGTGAAGAAATTTAAGCAGGGACATTTGCGTGACCCAACTCAATGGGTCTTGAAATAGCCTGCGTCACTAACCTCCTTTAGAGCCCAGTCTTCCATTTCATAAGTGAAAGGTATTTGAGGGGCAGCAGCTATAAAATACTGGCTGAGAACATCCTCAAGGGTGTAGGTTGGATGCCTTTCCCTCACAAGGGAGATGGTCTTCCTACATCCCAGAATGAGTCCCTTGCTGTTTGTCACCTTTCTTTGCCTTATCGATAGAGCACTGACCAGCATCTTCGGTAAGTCAGTTGGTATCTCTTTGTTCACAGGTGCCTACCTTTAGAATAAAATCGTAGAAACCTAAAGTTGGAAGAGGGCATAGTTCTCATCTAGTCCAGCATCCTAGAAAGAGTGCAGAGAAGAGCAACAAAGATGATAAAGGGGTCTGGAGGCTAAATCCTATGAAGAATGGCTAAAGGAACTAGGTATGTTTAGCTTAACCAAGAGAAGACTGAGGGGAGACATGATAGCAGTCCTCCAATACTTGAAGAGCTGCCCCAGGGAAGAGCGCACAGATTTATTCTCCATAGCACCTGAGAGTAGGATAAGAAGCAGTGGGTGGAAGCTTGTCAGAGGGAGATCCAACCTGGAAAGAAGGAATTTCCTGACAGAACTATTAAGCAGTGGAACAGCTTGCCTCCTGGAGTTGTGGGTGCTCCATCGCTGGAGGTTTTCAAGAAATGATTGGACAACCATTTGTCCAAGATGGTATGAGGACTCCTGCCTTGGGCAGGGGGTTGGACTAGAAGATCTCTGAGGTCCCTTCCAACCCTATAATTCTATGATCTTGTTCAGTGCAGGATCCACTAGACCAGTGTTTCTCAACCTTGGGAACTTAAAGATGTGTGGCTTCAACTCCCTAAATTCCCCAGCTAGTCATGGGATTCTGGGAGTTGAAGTCCACACATCTTAAAGTTCCCAAGGTTGAGAAACACTGCACTAGACCATCTTTAACAAGTGACCATCCAACCTCTTGAAGACCTAGCAAAGGAGAACTCCCACATCATGCAACAGACTGTTTCTCAGGCTGAATCTCACACAGCCAGGAATTTTGGAGGCTTGTGGCTGATGGATCTGCAAAGAGAAAGTGGAGATGGTACAACCCAAATGGAAAAGCAGTAGATTCGCTCATGGGTAAAAATTACAAAGTTTGGGGCTTTTTACCTTAGGAAAAAATAGGACAGGATAAAATAAGGTTATGCAGAGTGTGGAGACAGGATAGGGAGCATTCTTCAGAGTGCTAAAATCTGGGGGTCATCTAATGAAGCAGAATAATGGGAGATCCAGCATAAATGAAAAAAAATTGCTGTGATTTAGGTAGGGACTATGCTACTACAAGATGTTGCAATGGCTGCCGACTTGGAGGGCTTTCAAAGAAAATTTGCCCCTTATGATAAGGCAATTAATGTTTGTCAGTCATGATGGCTATGAAGATGTGGTCAGAATCTGACTTTTCTTCCATAGAAATTGCTTTTGATTTTCTACATTACCCTCAGGGTCCTTGAGAATTTCTTGCAAATACCTCTTGGTGGCATTTTCAGATGATTAGAGATGGGGCAAGATGCTACTCCATCACCTTGTAATTGCTGTAGCTGCCCCATTTCCCCATTTTAAAAAGCCCCATGGGAAGCCCTCATGAATGGGATTGAATGAAGCAGGGGAAGCCAAGGGTGAGGTAGACTGCTGGAGAATGTCATGTTCAATGACTTAACAGGACATTCACACCCCTCAGCTATCTGAAAACCAAATAGCTGTGTTCACACAATACTGATAACCAGTTCAGGTACAGACATATTACATACATTCATAGAACATGCTATGTTTTGTTAATAGTACTCTTGGACATGCTGCAGGTGGATGGTTTAGCAAATTACAAGACCCCAGACCATTTGATTAATTTTGGGTCACTTTTTATAGCGTGAACTCAGAAAACAAGTAAATTCAACCAGGTTAACTGTATTTTGTGATTAAGTGCACAATAAGCCAATAAATGTAAAAACACCACATTCCTCACTTGAGGATTTCATTGAGATTCTCTTCCCTTTTGGTGGTGGTGGTCGTGGGGGAAGAATACCAATTGTCCTTCATCCAACTGAATGAGAATTGGCTTAACAAATATGCAGATTAACTTTTTCTGTATGACACTCCTGTATATTATCCTGAGTATATTTCTCCTATTTGTGAGCTGCACTGGTGGTCAGCTGGCTTCTGGGTGCAATTCAAGATGCTGGTTATCACCTATAAAACCCTGGCAGAGGGCCTGGTTACTTGAGGGACCGCCTGTCTCCATATATTTCCACCCGTCTGGTCAGATGAGCTAGACTGGGTATGCTCCAGATCCTGTCTGTTAAGCTGTGTCACCTTAGGGCAGCTAGGAAGCACGTCTTCTGGGTGACAGATCCTGCTCTGAGGAATGATATCCCCCTGGAGGTTGCACTGATTCTTTTGACCTTCTGCAAACTGCTAAAGACCTGGTGGTTCTTCCAGGCCTTGGGTTAAGATGGTGATTGTGCCCCTTTCATTTAGTGTTTTTACTTTTTCCCGTTTGGTATTTTTGATATTCTGTTCAGTTGTCTTCTTTTTCTTGATATATTTCGTTTTCTTTTAACTTTTTATTTGTAGACCACCCAGAGTCATTGTAGAGTCAGGCAATGTTAAAAATGAATGAATGAATGAATGAATGAATGAATGAATGAATGAATGAATGAATGAATGAATGAATACATACATACATACATACATACATACATACATACATACATACATACTAGTGGCTGGAGGAGTAGAAGCAAGAGAGTTTCTTGCTCTTGGGTGTCCTCCTCTGAGATTTGATCCACCATAGTTGTTAGACTCTTACGGTTCAGAATATAGAAATCAGGAGCACAACAGTGCTCCTGAATGTGCATTTTCACTTGTATGTCTTTGCCCAGTCCCTGTGATAAAAAGTGAAAAAGAACAAACAGATCTTAGGATGTGACGGAGGGATTTGCTGCAATAACTCTGCTTTCTTCCAAACTTAGAGTATCAGGCTGAAAGCCAGCCTCTTCGGCCATGTGAACTTCAGAGGGAGAAGGCCTTTCGTGATGGGGAAGACTACGTCCCTCAGTGCTCAGAAGATGGACAGTTTAGGTAATGTTGGCACAACTTCCAGCATTTCTTGGAAGAATGGTTAATAGAGAAGAAAGGTGGGGATTGTGGTTCAGTAACATCTGGAGCGCCATAGATTGTCTACCATCATGGGCTCCTAGGGGAACATGCATATGCAGTGTTGGTCCATTAAACTGCTACCAGAGATACTTCTGATCTGGAAACACCCACAAGTGAACCAGAATATTTTGCACGGATCTGCCAGGGGAGCTAATCCTAAATTGGATCTAGATGACTGACGTTTGTATCAAACTCTGATGATGCTAAAATGATGACATGTATGTGGTGATATCCTGCATGGTTGTCCTTACTAATTTGCATCCCAACAAGGGCATCTGATGCAAGTGTGTAAAGGGCATTTGTGTGATGTTGCACATATTTTGCCATGTGCTACTCCTTGCACACACATCCATAGCTTAGCCTGTAGGAAGAGGTGGTTGAATCCTATTCCTGAAATTGGGCAGTGGATTTTATCACTCCAGAGAGCTAACAAACAGTGCTGATTATTTCTGTTCTCCTACATTGGGGAAAAAAATAACAAAGTAAAATAAAAGTTTTCCCAAATCCAGCTTGACACCTGCTGATTTCATGGGCACACCCACTGCTGCTTTCTTCAATGTTTTTTCAGCTTCCCAGTCTAACTTAGCTTTTCAAGATCAGCCAAGGTCTGCTGGGGCTCTTCACCTAGTTTGGCAAAACTAAAGAAATAAAAAGAACCCTAAACTCCTAACACAAAAGGATTTTGTCACACAGAAGAGAGAGTAGCACTAATTTTGCTGCGTACAATCGTCAAGGATACTATTTGTGACCATCATCTAAGCCGTTTTGTTTCTAAGTCACCCCCCCCACACACACACACAAATGATCTTGCAGTGGGTACCACACCTTTTCTAATCCTTCTCCCTTCCCTTGGCAACTGTATGTTTAAAAATCTGATCAAGTAGGCATGACTCATGAATAAATTGGTTAATCTTAAAAGACTTGCACAGATCTCTCTGGTTTGGTTTGGTTTTGTCGTATAAGACTTCTTTGGAAATCTTATGGGAGGGGGTTAGGGTTTTTAGGACAATACTATTTTTGGACAATCTTATTTATTTAGTTTTTTACTTGTGGGAAGTCTTTCTATTCAAATCGGTGGTTTTGAAGTGAGGCAGTTCAGTCTGTCACATCTTCCCTTGCACTGTGTCTTCTTCCCCAAGATGGTGTCTTCTGGATGTGTATGACATGACTTCCAATAATCTCCCACCAGTAAATCCAATGCTGCCCAGCAATTCCAGAAGCTATGGTCTAATTTATATGGGGGATATAAGCTCAAAGGGTGATAACCCACTTCCTTATTTAGATTGGCCCATAGGAAAGTATGATCAAAGCACCGGCAGATGAGCTAATGTTCTGAAGATAAGTAATGATCCTTACAAATGTTTGTAGATCCTAAACTTGTATAAAAGCATAATAATGTTGGAAATCACTACTTTGTCCACCAGGAAAATACAGTGCAATAAAAATGGTGTTTCCTGCTGGTGTGTAGATGAAAAAGGCATCGAAGTCACAGGCAGTAAGCAGTCTGGATCTTCTATTGCTTGTAAGTTCCCCCTTGTTACGAACTCCTATTTCAAAACATAAAGAATTGTGGAAAGGGTGTCTGGTCTGTGTTGTGTATGTGTGTGTTTGTGTATAAGAGAGTATCACCTCTCAGGTATGTTTGTTTCCTTCAATCATGACACATATAGTGGGGTGTTAAAAAGAAGTAATAGGCTGATGTCTGCACAGGCTTTTAGAGTTCTTAAAACAGCCTTTTTCTGTCTGGTTCCTTTGGGACTGTAGAATTTAAACTTTCGTAACTCTGATTATGGGAAATGAACTCCAACACAGCTGGAAGAGACCAGGTCAAGAAAGCCTGATTTAAAGGATGAAGTGGCCACTGGAGAGTTAAGCTGCCCAGATTTTATGCTTATATTATGTGTGAAATCCCACGCTTTGGCCAACACACTTGATCACTCTACCTCCATTTCTTTTGTAAGGCTGCAGCTGGGTTTAGGGGTGCAGAGTTAAGCCATGGTGGGTTGTGCTCCCAAGAAATATACAGATGAGGTGATTTCATAATCTCCTGAAATAACAGCTGTGTTCATGACAGGACTCTTAACCTATTTCCCCAAAAGCTTGATCTTGGTCTTGCTTTTCCCTCTTTATACATTGACTCATCATAAAACAAATTTCAGTTATGGCTGAACATTGAGAGCTACCCACACGTAGATCCCAAGGAAGACATCCATGTGACGGGATGCTACATTTTGCAGGGAGCAGGGACCATCTCTGCAGATGCAAGGAAACAGACCTACTGCCCAAGTTTGTAATGCCTGGGTATTTGCCAAGGGCCAGGATCTGTATGGAATGAGGACAAAGGCAGGGCATCCCCTGTCTCTCTGGATGTGTTTCTCTATATTGCCATATGAATGCTTGCTCCTTTGCACTTTGGGCTCAGAAGAGACAAGTGTACAAAAAGAAATTGGAGCAGCTACCATCACTTGCTCCTTCTTTGCCACCTCCTCTTCCTCTTCCTCCTCCTTCTCTCCCTCCCTTTTTTGAGATGGTAACACTTACATGGTTCCAAGAATTATTTAGAATATGGAATAATGCATCCAGCACATAGAGTATTATTTTTACATTATAGGAAAGCAGATCCCAACTGGATCCTAGAAACACCTTTCTAGCAGTAGAAGTAGTTTGATAATGGATCTAGTGGCTCAGAGAGGGGGTAATTTCCCCTTCATTGGTGCTCAGACAGCCACCTGTCGGTATGGCTTAATTTAGATTCTTGCACAGATCATGGGATTGGACCAAATGCCTCTTCCAACTCCAAAAGACTTAGAATTTGCTATGGCCTTTAAGAAAATACCTTTTTCAGAAGGTGAAAATGCTTTGAAGAGGTTTAGATAGCACCTTGCTCTGACTTTGCACCCTATTTACAAGGGTTTGTATTTACTGAACCTTGGAGACTCTCAGCATCAGCTTGATTTGGCAGTGATATAGTAAAGCTGAAAATACTCCAGATGTAATCATGTTTCTTCCTGCTGTAGGTTTATCGTTCTGCCAGCTTCAAAAGCAGCGGATTCTGGTCAGCCGCTACATCAATAGCAGTGCAACTGCCTACATCCCACAGTGTCTGGATTCAGGTGACTTTGACCCCATACAGTGTGACTTGGCCCTGGAGCAATGCTGGTGCGTGGACGGTGAAGGGATGGAGATTTATGGGACCAGGCAGAAAGGAAAACCAAAGCAATGTAAGTCAGTAGTCCAAACATAATTAGGAATTTAAACTAGTTGCAGTCACAACAGACTTTCTTCCTTTCCTAACCAAACTCATCGCCCTAAGGGCACATTCCTCCAACTTCAGCTCAAGGATGTCTTGCCAACTGTTCTTTAAGGGCACATCTGAATAATGCTGCTCATCATCCCCATAGCTGAGGCCAGCTGACTTTCTTTTGTTCTGATTCAGTGTGGAAGTAATGTTTTCCATCTTCTCCCAACTCAGTTTGCACGATTTGTATTGTTTTTTGGCCTTTTGGCTAAGATCTTTGTTGTTGTCGTTCTGGCAGCAGCTGCAACGAAAACAGGACAGGAGCTGGGGTGTGCCTGGTTCCTACTGCCTGCTGCAGGCGCATTCCCACGTCTTGGTTGTTGCCAAGTTTTCTTTGTGGCCATATTGGTTTGTGCTGCTGGATTAATATGACACCAGTGGAGGAGTAGTGGAGGGAAAATCTCTTATGAAAGTTCTTTGAAAGGGTTTGGCGACTGGCATTCCTGGATGGGGAAACCAGAGTAAATAAGACATTTTTGCTTGTCAGGTCCTGGTCAGTGTGATATTCGAGACCGCCGCATCCTGCATGGCGTTGGGGAAAAAACTCCACCACAATGTACAACTGATGGAGAATTCCTGCCTGTCCAATGCAAGTTTGTCAACACAACAGATAGGATGGTCTTTGATCTCATCCATCATTTTAACAGGTAGGAAGAACTTTTTTCAATGCCTAGTGCCTAGCTCCATCATTAAGAAAGATGGGAAGCCCTTCTAGCCTTAGTAGAAACACCATGAGTGGAGATAATCTGGACCATTGGTGAGGACCATTGATCTGTTTGGACAAGGGGCGGCTGAACACAATCCCAAGTCAAGTGAGACACCCTGATTCAGAGCTGATATTTTCTCATATTTAGAGGAGGGTAATGATCTAAAGCCCATATTATCACCACTTCCACTTTCCAGTCCCTCAAAAACAGGTTGAAGACAATCCATGAATAAAACCAAAGAGCAAACTGTTACGGCTTCTGCAGGAAGAGAGATACCTAAATATGCTATGCATGAGGGAAATAAAACAAATTCCTTGCATTGCTCACCCAAAACTTTACTTTATATTGTTTGCATTTGCCAGGGCGTAAGTGAAAAAAAATTCTAGCAATTCCTGTGAGAGGAGGCTGGAATGGCCAGAAGCTATGCTTGCATATGTACATACATATCACACTGTTCCATGTCATGGTAAACAATGTAATGCAAAGCATAGGAAAAGAGTAAACATTGACCAACCTGCACAAGAGTGGGGTCTAAGAGATCAAGATGGCAGTTGCAACAGTGCAATTAAAGCTCCCCCTCTTATTTCTATGTATTGTGACGATTATACAATCACAACCTCACCTTGACTTTTTTGATCGAAACCTCCCCCCCCCCCCCCC